AAGAAGGAAAAAAAATGCAAATGGTGATTCTGTGCCTCAGAAGTTGTCTAGGTAGCTGCCAGCTCTGCGCGTCGTCGGAGAGCTGCACAAGCCCGGTAGGACCGCGTCACCACACAGAGTTCCTGAAGGAAGGTGGCAACGGCTTGTGCAGGGTCTGCCCCTGTACGGGCAGCTGCTGCATGCGCGATATGCTTCAAGGTGTGCATGGCGCCATCGTCCCAGTTTCCTGTCGGCTCCACCACCATAGGCAAAAAGCGAATTCCATGCTGCTGGCAAATGTGGCCTGTTTGCAGGTATGCAACCTTGTGCTGGGCATAGGCTGCCGCCGCCGCTCCGGGTGTTTGACTAGCCAGAGCCAAAGTCTCTTGCCGCGTGTGCGCTGTGACAGCGAAATCCAATGCAGCAGGGGACCCGGCCAAGGCAGGGATGAAAATGTCCGCAGGGCGGCGACGGCTGCTGCTGAAGTCATCGGGACTCTGAGGCAGCAGAAGATGGGCAGCTTCCTTTTCAGGACGAAGACCGGCTTGCACGGCCCACTGGCACACCAGATCACGGACAGCATGATGCCGCCGCGTGCGTTCACCACCGGCAATGCAGGTGGCAGCATGATAGCTGTGCCGGTCCAAGATGCCATCGCAGCGAGGACACCAGGCGTCTGCATCAGCGTCAGGCACCAACAGCCGGAGGCGGAGCTCCGCACAAAAAGCTGCAGGTTCCATACGTCCGGCGCCGTGGGGAACTGCTGCAAGGAAAGCCCGGCCCCCAACAGAAGCTTCAGAATGAAGGACGGCTTGTTCGATAGGGGTTGCTTGGCTCAGCTGGTGGGCCCAGCCAGCCGCATCAACACGATGGGACAAATCGCGTTGCTTGGAGGAAAGGGCGGCCTCAACGCTCAGAGCTTGGTGTGGCGGCAGGTGGGCATTGAGGTGGGCCAAGGCGGCCGACACGGCAGGGCTGCTTTTTTGCTCATCGGCAGAAAAAGCCGGATCCAGTTCGGCACAAGCAGCTAGCGAGCCGCCGACGGAAGCTAAGAAAGCTGCTGACGCATGGTGTTCACACGACCGCAAACCTAGCCCTCCATGAGCGAGCCCGCGGGCAGCCTGCTGCCATTGCGCTGTAGTGGGGTGTACACCTGTCAAGTTGCCAAAGCAGCGCCGGGTCATGCCATCAAACATGTCAAGCGCGATGCTTTGGGAATGCGGCGGGTTGCAGCGCATGCTGTGCACCATGCGCGAAAAGCCCCCGCATGCCCGAAGCAAGCGTAAGCCTACCTGGGGGTCGGTGAGTTCAGCCAACCCGTCCAGCAGGTCCCCAGCCTTGGCGGCCCGGTCTGCAGTGTGATCACGGATGAAAGTGTCGTCCCCGATGGCAGCTCCCAAGAAATCAAAATTGGACTGGACCCGTCCGGTGCCACCACCGTCACACAGCAAGGCAGCTGGGAAGCAGGCTTGCAGAGCTGTTTCAGACACAGGCCCAGCAACCGCAAGCTCACATTTGGCGAGGTTCAAGTCGAGGCCTATTGCTTTGGAGGCAGCCTGCAGATGTTGCAAAGCAGAAGCCACGTGGGCGAGGTCCCCGGCCAAGACGCCGTCATCCAGGTAGAACAAAGCGAGGTCGAGGCTGGGTTGCCGAAGGGTGCGGGCAACCTTGTGCAAGGCTACCGAAAAAAACAGTGGGCCCAGAGGGTCTCCCTGCTGTACTCCACAACACGACTCCAGGGTGCGGGCCCCAAATTGCAGCCGGCTCGGCTGTCCGTAGCACCAGGTGGCCCATCTAGCCAACTGCGGGAAGTGAGCCCGGACCTCCTCAAGCACCACGGCCCGTGACACGCAATTGAACGCGTTGCTGAAATCCAACTTGAGGAGAACTTTGGTGCTGGAGCCCATGTGTCGGCGGGACCAGGCTCGGACCGTGTGGATTGCAACTTCAGCACCATTGGGCACAGCAACGCCAACTTGCACTGGCCAAAGCAGCTGACGTGCATCTTCCCGGACAACGGACATGAGGCACTTGCCCGTGAGCCGGCGGAGGATTTCCCCCACAGCGATGGGTCGCACCCCACCCGTGGGTTTAGGGAGGGCAACGAGCCCTGCCCCGCCAAGCACCGGAGAAACGCAGGCAGGCGCGCGGCCATGAGCGAGAAGCTGCACAACAGCGGCAAGCTGAGCGAGGAAGGCCTCAGTGCCCCCCGGCACACATGCATCCTTTAACTGTTGCACCCGCAAGCCGGTGGGCCCCGGTGCTGTGTCAGAAGGGAAAGCACGAAGACAGCGGGCCACCAAGTCAGGGGCGATGTCCGGGCCAACGGGAAGGTCATGGAGTGGTGGGGCACTGGGTGGCGGGCTCCTGGGATGGAGCGCTTGAAGGGCTTGGGCTGTGGTATCACTTTCGGGGCAAAGCCCTTTGGAAAGTAAGGCGGCACACGCCTTTCGGTCAAACCCTTCGCGAGCCAAGCTGGTCGCCAGACTCCTTTTTGCATCTGGACTGGGCGGTGTAGTTCGGCGAGGACGACCCACAGCCCGGCTGGACCAAAGGGAGAGCCGTTCCCCTTCCTGCCAGCGGTGGAGGCGGTCCAAGGTATAAGCGGCGACCGCTTTGCTGTGCCGCCGACCTCCCCGAGTTGGTGCACAAAGGAGGCACTGAGGCAACATCAGCAGTTCACGCCACGCCCTCTCATCATTCCGGTGCACAACGGCTGCCAACGCCCGGGTTAGGATGTGGTTCCAGGTGTGTCGGGCAGCAACGGGCACATGTCGCAATGTGGGAGTGCGGGCGGCTTGGATCTCCGTGAAGGAAGGCAGTTGCAGGTTGTCGATGTCCATTGGCTGGGCTCCGTCAGGGGCAGCTGCCCGCGCCTCGGGGCGACAAGTGGGATGAACGCCGTGTCGCTCCGACACGCTCAGCCCACAGACCAGGCAGCGGGTGCGGCCGTGGGTTTGCATCCAAGATGCGGGCACATCGCCAGTGAGAGAGCCAGAGAGGTGCGCATCAATGTGCGAGCGCATGGTTGCGACATTGGCCCAACCAGGTGCCCGGGTGGGGTCGGCACAAAGGCAGCCAGGGACGGGACAGAACAGCCGCTGTCGAGAAGGCGCGCCACGCCCACTGGCGGGTGACCGCTCGCGTTCACGGGCCGACCCCCGCTCACCACCCACAGGCGTCCCAGGGGCAGGGGGCCCTGGATTGGCAGCTTCCCCAATCCGGCATGCTCGCATTGGCCAGCCCGGCCACCGAGGCCGCCGAGGATAAAGGCGTCGAGCCCGCTTGCTCCAATGGAGACGCGCCGGTGGCAGTAGCCCAGCTAAGAGGTGGCAAGACGGAGGCTCGCGCTGCTGGCACCACCGGGCGTTCAGAGAGATGGTCAAGGCCCGGCGGTGCTTCCTGCCAGTTTGCTCGAACCGAGGCGGGCTGTGGCCCAAAGTGGTGTTCGGCGGAGGGTCCTCTGGGCCCAACCAGCCAGGCACGGCCGACCCACGCAACGCAGTCAGGAGCAACGCCCAGAGGAAGCCAACAAACGGAGCCATGCGCACCCTGCAGGCGGCTGCCGGGGGACCACACCTGGCCGAGGCGGTGCACCAGAGGTCCTGAGACATGGGACCGACGACACGACGCAGGTGTGGCCCCGCGGCAGCTGCGCAGCAGGGGCCAGCAATCCCTGGTATGTCTGGCCCAAGAAATGACCAGGATGACGTTATTACTTTAGCACCATTTTTCTGTGGTTTGGATATGTTTGGATATTGATAAGTTCTTGGTATCATTGTTGGGAAACTCTATTCGTAGCTCCTTAGCTTAGCTCCCCAGTTTACAGGGAATATGATGGAATATGAATAGCCCTAGCTCCGAACCGATCCCTCCTAACCATAGGCTAGTTAGTCAATTGAAGGCAATTTGTGGTCTGCAAAACAGGGGTATTCCATGGAAAAAAGCTGCAGAATGGAAGGTTTTTTTCATGGGAAAACGATGACAATCCGTCGGATTTCGGGCATGGTCCCATGATTTTCAACATACCTTCGCAGCATACCCTCAGTCGCTTCAACTCCTCAATCCTTTCATGAACCATTACTATGGCATGGGCTATACTTCAGAGGTCTGCGAGTTTGGGTTAGTAGAATTTGACATACCCTTCACCCACTAACAGTGGGCAATGAAGGTTGATAGGAAAACCCTACTAGGGAGATGATAGTTCACTGTGAGGGGCTGAAGGCTATGTCACTATGTTCAATGTATACATATATATATATACATATGCAGAGATAGATAAGCCACCTATATGTCTTAACCTTTCGGATAGATAATGGATAATGAAAATCCCCTCCCGCAAATTCATGCCCCCAATTCTAACGTTTTGGGACCCAGTTCTTGATTGGACCTAATCAAGAAGCAGTGACTGATCCACATTGATGAGAAAAGACCTTACAGCTGGTGGCATTTCATGGGGAAAAATCATTCATATTTGGAGATGGTCGCCTGGGACCATGCCAGGTGTGACATCCACCAGCGGCCCAAAAATCTAGTAGCCACATTTGTGGTCATCCATGGGCATATCACCAAGAAAAGATTGGAGTTGAATCAACACATGAACTGATACCCTCTGGTAAACGTTTACATAACTATGGAAAATCACAATTTTTAATGGGAAAATCAACTATAAACGGCCATTTTTCAATAGCTATGTTAAATTACCAGAGGGTAACGCGTCAGCCTGATTTGCTGGGCCATGGTTTCGTGATGGTTTCTCTCCCCATGATATCACTGCGTTGACATCTCGGTTGTTGGCGCGCGAGGTCCATGTGAGATTGGACCTGTTGTAAAAGCACTACTTTTGTGCATGAACATTTGCACTGTGCAGCATTCCGCGATTGTCCCGTGAACATTTGAGGCACAAGGGTTATCCTAAGGTGAAAACAGTACTTTGCGTTTCATGCCATGTTGGCTTTGCACTTTTAGCACTTTGACATTGGTGCCGCGGAGCAGTTCAGGTTGAGATCTAGGGCTGTACCATGAGCGCCTGGCGACCCTCTTGTGCCAGGCCTGGAGCTCCAGCTACGACGGCTACTACTAGCACCTCATCTCGCTGGGATGGTGGAAACTCGGCTTGGGCATGGAGTGCCGCTGTGCGAGAAGAGGACGACTGGGCCGAAGGGTGTGAGTTAGGTGGAGCTGGGCCTGGCGATGGAAGCCAACGTGACCCTTGGTGGGAACAACATGTTGCTGACCCGTGGTCGGCCAATGGGACTAGTGATGGTAGCGGGGAGATCAACAAGAAGTATGGCCAGTTCAACTATGATGGATGGTTAGATGATGAACAAATGAGAATGTTCAATGTGGCGCAGGTGGAAAAGACCACTGCGGCTTCTCATGGAAGGTGGCAAGGTGATCAGGTGGCTCATGGTGTAGGAAGTTGGAATGAAAGTTGGTCGAACTATGATGCTGAAAAGGACAGAGGGAAACCAACTGAGAAACTGGTTGTACCAGAGTTTGATGGAGAAGGAGGAAGTGACCATGACCTTGGCAGATCGGCAAGGTCATACCTGAGAAAAATTCAGGTTTGGCTGCGATGCACGAAGTTGCCAGCGCACCAGCGTGCGTTGGCCCTTTACAATGGCCTCAGCGGCAAAGCATGGATCTACGCTGAGGAGCTTGATGTGGACAAGCTTGCGACGGAAAACGGGGTCTCCTACTTTTTGCAGTGGGTTCAGACCCGCTTCATGGAGGTCGAAGTTTCAAAGGTGGCACAACTCATGACTGACCTCTTCAAACGAGGGAGACGCCGTAGTGACCAACAGGTCAGAGACTTCAATGTGGAGTTTGAGAGAATGGTGCTACGTTTGACAGAGATACAATGCCATGTTCCTCCACTCATTAAAGCATGGTTGTACCTGGACAAACTGCGACTCAGTGAGCAGGAGGAACTGGCGCTCTTGTCAAGCGTCAACAATGAGTATGACTGCAAGAAGCTGCAACATGCGGCTTTGGTTCAGGACCGAGCCATCCGACGGCCGGGGGCTTGGGGAGGTGAAGATGCAAAAGGAGGTGGCAGGCGTTGGACGAGGCAGAGCGTCCACATGACAACGAATGAAGGTGGTGAGATGTCTAGCGAGGATGAGAAAGGCGATGGTGACTCTGATGATGGTGAGATTGTCGATGAAGACACTGCTGTGGAGCACTACACAGCCTACATGACATACCAGGGAGCCAAGGCGAAATACAAGGAGGTCTTGAAGGGCCGAGGTGTCGACCAACGTGCGGTGGATCAGAGGAATCAAGAACGTTTGAGGCTGGCAAAACAGAGGAGCTACTGCAGCGCCTGCAAACGCAGGGGTCACTGGCATAAAGACCCGGAGTGCCCATTGAGACAGCGGTCTTCGTCGGGAACTACCAGTGCTGCAGGTGCTGAGACTGTGCAGTCGGTGAACTTTGTGCACCAGTGCTTTGTGACGGACTCCGGTGTTCAGGCCTTGGACGAGATCTACATGACTGAGTATGACTTGGCGGCATCCCCTTGTCTTTGTCTTCGGCAATCGCTTTTTGCAATCCCTGGGTATGACGTGGGCGCCGTTTGTGGTGGTGGTCTTCAGCGACAGCCCACTGCGATCAAGGAGTTCGACATCGGCACATCCCCTTGTGTATGTGTTCGGCAATTGTCCCCTGCATCTTCCTGCTTCATGACTGAGGAGTGCAATGGCGAGGGCTTCATCATGGACAATGAGAAAGGCATCCAGCACGGGCCCCAGGACGACAAGCTCCTGGCAATCATTGACACGGCTTGCACCAAAACCGTGGCTGGATATGCTTGGTTTGAGAAGTACGTTCAGGTCGCAGATAGCTTAGGGCTTCCTGTACAGACCTTGGATGAAAATGAGCATTTCAAATTCGGAGCATCCAAAGTTTACAGGTCAATGTTTTCTGTGAAGGCATGGTTTGCTATTCATGGCAAACAGTTTGGGGTCAGGGTTTCAATTGTCCCCTGCAACGTGCCTCTTTTGTTCAGTAGACCCGTGCTGGGAAGTTTGGGCATGTGCTATGACGTTGCGAAGCAACAGGTTGGACTGGCTTCGCTGAATCTCCAGGAGTTGCCACTCCTGACTAGCCCTACGGGACATCCAGCACTTTTGGTCTCCGATTTTGGCAAGAACCCATTGCTGGGAGAGTTGCCGGAGTTTTCACCCGAAGCCGTGCACATTCCAGCATTCGAAGCATACATGAGTGCGAGCCAGCCTTCTTTCACGCCATTATTTTTCCCAAAGAAGTTGTCGAGAGAAATTCAGTTATTGCTGGAATCACAACATACTTTGAGTGGAGCAAGTTTTGTAGGGTGGTGGAAGTCAGCAAATCAATCACGTGATTTTTGGTTGGAGACGGAAGATGAGTTCATACGCATACATGTTGTACCACGCAAACACTTCTTCAACCCAGCTGCATGGAACACAAGTTTGGAATCAATCAAGCACCAGTTGGTCGAGAAGTTGGAAGGTCATCGAATCACCGAGCACATACCATGTCTTGGAGATGGAGTTTTGTCATCAACATGGGAAGACACAACATATCAGAATACCAGCATTCCACAGGACATGATCTACCCATGGATTGGCCGCAGTCGTTTTCGCAAGCTCAAGACTGCGATCAACGGCACAGCCGGCCCTGACGAACCTCTCGTCGCTGTCGATGCCGGGCAGCGGAACGTCACCATGGGCGATGAGGAAGGGAGAGCTGGCAGAGGCTCTCGAGATGCGTGGTGTGACCGTCCACCCCAACTGGTCGGTCCCGGAGCTCAGGTCCATTCTTCTGGAGCAACTGGAATTGGAGAAGCCGGCCAAGAACGAGAATTCGATGAAGGGACTGACGAAGCTCAGTCTGGCAGAGCTCATTGCGGAGGCGGAGAAGCTGCAGATCACTATGCCTCCGAAACCCACACGTGGCCTGCTGATGAGGATGATTCGAGACACCAAGAGCACTCCTGCACAGACCCTGGTGACCTTCGGCAAGTTCAAAGGATGGATGTACCAGGAGGTTCCCTTGGGCTATCTCCAGTGGAGTGTGCAGGAGACTCGTGCGAATCAGAACTCGCACCCCGACTTGGTCCGGCTGGCAGCATGGGCACAGGGAGAGATCGAGCGCCGGGAGAAGGCGTCAAGCAGTGGAACCCCGATGCAGAAGGACCCGGAGGCAACGGCAGTGATCCCACCTCCTCGCCTGAAGGCTATGGGGCGGGAAAGCGACTCCTCGGACACATCGTGGAGCAGGGTCGCAAGTTCCTGCCAAAAGTCTCGGGTTCGTCGTGGACCGGAAGTGATCAGCGACAGCGACCTCGACGAGGAGCCGGAGGATGTCAACCTCACCATCAAGAAGCTGGAGGATCGTCTGGCGGCGCTCAAGAAACGGGGCGCCAACTGAACTATGGTGGGGGGAAAGACGGCCAATCCCCGGGTGACGTCACCGGTGATGTGGCGGAGATCAATGACGTCGCGAGCACAAACACCACTGGGTCTGCGAACTATGAGGTAAAGTATGACTCAAACAACTTGGACACTCCGGACGAGTTCCAGGCTTTTGAGAATGAGGACACGATCGGGCTTAGCAGATCTGGTGGGGAGATTGAGTATAATCACTTCAACTTCAACGCTCCGGACGAGAATGAAGTTTTTGTGAATGACATCAAGAAGGATGCAACCCCGGGCGACTTGTGGAGTGAGTCACCTAGGGCAAGGGCAAGAGCAGGCATGCGACGGAGGAGACTGGCAAATCGGTCTGTGGCACAAAAGCTGCGAGCAGAAGTCGTTGGTCTCTTCGAGGTGATGGTGGCATGCACGCTTATGGCTGGAAGCCTGACCCGGGAGATCATCGAGGACCCGCTTTGGGAGGCATGGGCAGTATTGCAGCCCAAACATCATGTGAAAGCACGAGAAGCCAAGACAGACTGCCTTGAACTTTTTGCCGGTGAAGCTAGGATTTCTGGTGCCTACGCTCGGCGAAAACGAGCAGCGCTGCAGCCCCGTGATGTCAGGTACAATCACGACCTTCGTCGTGGGCATGACCAAGAGGAAGTCCTTGAGGACATTCTGCATCATAGGCCACGTTTGGTTTGGGTTGCACCTCCGTGCACAGTTTGGTGCAAATTTTCTCATTTGAACCATAGCAAACAAGAGCTACGGCGACTGAGACAAAAGGAGTCCAAGCTTGTGAGGTTCACCAGCAGAGTTTTTGAGCTGCAAAGTGGACTCGGTGGCATAGCTGTGATCGAAAACCCTCGTGGGAGTGACTTGTGGCGACATCCAGAGCTACAGCGATTCCTGGGTGAGCGTGCATGTTTTGCTGATGTGGATCTTTGCACTTTTGGGCTGCGCAGCTTGCAAGATGGCAGGCCTCTGCGCAAGCCCTTGGCCTTGATGACCAACGATCAGGCCTTCGCTGATGAAATTTCCCAGCGGTGCCAAGATCCATCACATGACCACCGACCAATTCAAGGCAGAGATACAGCATGGACAGCAGTGTACCCAACCGCTTTTGCCACAGCTGTGGTCCATGCGGTTGACAAAGCTTGGGCACATCCAAAGGAGCTCTATGTCCAGTACCCGACGGATCTTGTCCCGGCGGAAGACTCCAAAGATGATCCCAACAAAGCGGAAGAGATTGAAGAGTGGGCAGAGGAGCCAATAGGAGCCAATGCCATATCCTTCAAAGGCAAAGTGAACCCCAAGGTTGCAGCAGTCCTGAAGAGAGTCCACCAGAACCTTGGCCATCCTCCCAACCGTGACCTCATTCGTCACTTGAGGGTAGGTGGCGCACCTGAGAATGTGGTCCGGGCGGCTGAGCAAATGGTATGCCGCACCTGTGAGCGCAGTGGGAGGCCACCTTCTTCTCGGGTAGCACAACCATGCACCGCACTTGACTTCAACGAAGCCATTGCCGCTGATGTGATCTGGCTGGACACGGCTGATGCCAAGAACAAACCAGCGCTGAACATCGTGGACCTGGCCTCAACTTACCAGGTGGTGGTGCCAGTCGAGAGTACCAAGTCGGAGGAGCTTGGCAGGGCCATGTTGGAGGGATGGATCAATTGGGCAGGCGCTCCAAAGCACTTGCTGGTGGACCTGGACTCTGGCTTTCGAGACCAATTTCTACAACTGATGGACAGCCGATCCATCACAGTGAGATGTGCAGCTGGCCAAGCGCATTGGCAGAATGGAGTCTGCGAAAGACATGGAGCCACATGGAAAGCCATCTGGAAGAAATTGGTGGAGGACCTCACCATTTTGGAGGATGAGTTTGCGGAAGCCATAGCATGCACAAGTGACGCCAAAAATCAGCTCAGGAACAAGTCTGGCTACTCTCCCAGGCAATGGGTGTTCGGCACCCAGATGCGCATGCGATCTCTTCGACAGCCACTTGGGTCCGGAACAATTTGACAATATCACGGCCGATGAGAAGGTGAGCCGGGCACATGCAATCCGACTTGGTGCTCGCACAGCATTTTTCAGCTGTCAGACCAAAGATGCACTGCAACGAGCATCCCAACACAAAGCCCGAGTCGACAAAGCCGACTACGATGCCGGTGACCTTGTTTACATCTATCGTGAACTCCGGCAACGAAAAGGGAAAAAGAGCGGAAGTGCATGGATTGGACCAGGCACTATCATTGGACGTGAAGGACACAATTTCTGGGTAGCACGTGGTGGAAGGTGCCTTCTTGCTGCACCAGAACATTTGCGCATTGCCCATCATGAGGAGATTTCTGAGATGATCAGGCTCAAAACATCCATGAAGGAATTGCGCGAGATCATCGACAAGGGAGATGATGACATCATCGACCAAGACTATGAAGATGGTGATCACCGAGCTGGCGAGTCCGTGCCAGCTGACATGGAATGGGAACAAGACCCGCATGGGGTGGAGGAACAATTGGACATGGAGGTGGAAGAAGCTGGAGGTGCAATTGGACAAGCTCTCCGACGAGAAAGGCAGTTGGAGGCCCATGCTCGTCGTCGGCAAGCGTTGGATGACGTGCCCTTGAACTTGAAAAGACAACGGGGCCAACAAGTCCTTATGGTCAAGCACGCCATCTCCGAGAAAGGGAAAGAGAAGCAGCTTGAGAAGGAACTCCCTTGGCAGCTTATACCACCAGATGAAAGAGAGATGTATCGTGCAGCGGAATTGAAACAATGGGAGGAGCACGTGCAGTTTGATGCCGTGCGGGCTTTGAGCGTCGAAGAGAGCATCGAGGTCATCAAGAAGGTCAAACCAGAGCGCATCTTGAACTCCAGGTTTCTTTACAGAGACAAGAACTATGCCAAGAGAAAGGCTGACCCCAGCGTTCCAGCAAAACCAAAAGCTAGGCTGTGTATCGCTGGTCAGAATGACCCCGACCTGGGCAAGGTGGATATGGTCACAGATGCTCCAACGACGTCAAGGCATTCCATCATCCTGGCACTACAGCTTGCGCTTTGCAGATCATGGCTGGTCAGTGTGGGAGATATTCGTGCTGCATTCCTCAATGGTATTCAAGCGCCACGAGAGTTGTATTTCCGCCAACCAAAACGTGGCATCCCAGGACTTCGACCTGAACAAATCATCGAAGTGCTCAAAGGGGTGTTTGGACTTAGCACAAGTCCAAAATTGTGGTGGATGAAACTTTCTGGTGATTTGAAAAAGATGAAAATCCACTTTGACGGGCACACCTTCCACATTGTGCAGAATGTCATCGACCCTTGCGTATTCCAAATCATCAACGACAAAGAACAAAGTGTGGCAGGGTTGCTCCTGACACATGTGGATGATTTGATGTTGATGGCCGAACCCAACTTGGCTCGGCATGTCCAAAGAAAGCTCAAAGAGATGTTCCCAGTGGATGAATGGGAAGAGAACGACTTTGAGTACGTTGGCTGTGAATATCATTGCTCGGCGGACAAGATTGAGATCACTCAAAAGAATTACATCGGCAACCGAGTGGAGAAGGTCACCATTGGAGGGGGAAACAACGACGCTGAGAGTGCCTCCGTGGAGCAGGTGGAGGAGAATAGAACGGTGATAGGTTGCCTATCATGGCTGGCCAAGCAAACGAGGCCAGACATTCAATTTCAAGTTTGCCAAGCACAGAGAAAGCAACGGTCTCCAACCATACATGATTTGAAGCAGACCAACAAAGCCGTCACGGACGCTCTCCAGTTCAAAGATTGCGGGATCACATTACGCAAGATCCCGGAAGACAACCTCTGCTTCATAGCCTTCCACGATGCGGCTTGGGGCAACACTGACCCAGACCATGCAGCTCCGCAAGATGAAGAATGGCTGGGCGGACACCAGGTTGCATCGCAACTTGGATCGCTGATCCTCCTAGCCGATGAAAACTGCATGGGACCCAACGGTGGAAATTTTAGTCTGGTAGACTGGAAGAGCAAAGCCTCACAGAGGGTGTGCCGTTCAACTTTTGCGGGCGAGACAATGGCCTGCTCAGAAGCGCTCGAAGGAGCACTCTTTTTGCGTGGACTCTTTACATCCTTTGGGACTGGAGTTCGCGTTCCAGATCATCAAGGTGGAGCCTATCATCCGCTCCATCTCATCACCGATTGCAGGAGCCTCTATGATCACATTCATCGCGAAGGGATACCTCGTGCTCCAAGTGAGAAAAGATTGGCGATTGACCTTGCAGGTCTGAGACAGGCCTTGGTGATTGAGGCCGAGCACCAGTGGCGTAAAAAGCACGGCGATCCATTCAAGCCTACTCCCGAAACTCCACTTCGACCTCCTTTGCACTGGCTTCCGACTCAAGAGCAAATGGCTGATCTGTTGACCAAGCGACTGAAGCCTGATGAGTGGTGGGGTAGGATTAACCAAGGATGGATGAGTCTTCCGCTGAAACAGCATGCACAGGGAAGACAAAATTTCCAGGATTTGGTACCAGTGTAAAAGCACTACTTTTGTGCATGAACATTTGCACTGTGCAGCATTCCGCGATTGTCCCGTGAACATTTGAGGCACAAGGGTTATCCTAAGGTGAAAACAGTACTTTGCGTTTCATGCCATGTTGGCTTTGCACTTTTAGCACTTTGACACCTGTGTTTCCTGGAGATTAGCTTTGAATCCCAACTTGATGTATTCTGATGTCAAACTAAGCACCCAGAGACCCAGACCTACAATTTTAACCGTCCTGTTCACATCCACAAGAATGTGCATCAATTGTCTTGGTCACAAGGTGCTGCCTCAGTCGTAAGTTGATTTATAACCCATTATAACCCCGTTAACTACACTTATTATCCCTGGTAAATTAACATAGACCCTGAAAATAAGCCAGTTTTAGTGGAAACCAGTCTTCCAACCCCCAAATCCTGCCAGGGTCGAACTGTTAATGTACCGGAGGGTAACTGCCATTAATCTTAGTGATTCAAGTGATAAACCAACTTGGCCAACCGGGGCATTAGCTGGCGGGAGTCGAATCGCACGGACCCTGCCTGATGAACAATTTCTCCACAGCAAAGACGTTGGGACCTAAGATCAATGGAGCCCCATTTTAGAGGGGATAGACTTCGTTCAGATTCATGATATGTATTGATATGTGTGTAGTACATATTGATGTGGTTTACCTTAAAAATATTTCCTCTTTTAAACCCTGGTTAAAAAACTTGGCTCTAGGGGTCCCACGGGGTAGGAAACCGTTTCGGAAACTCCAAAAACTGCGGCGGAAGACGAGTTTGGTCCGGAGAAGCCTTACGTTACAACACATGGCTTGGTCTGAAAGTTCGGCACCTTAAGTTTTCACGGGTTCATCATCATGTTCCTTAGTAGATGTTGCCGTTGGGGGCATATATCGCATTTTTGGACACACCCAATATACAACATATACACACATTATTTTATATATGGTTGCCATGCAAACAATTTCACCATCAATGTCACACCAGGCATGACATGTCAACACCACATCTTTTTACAGCCGCCAGTCGCAGATTGTTCTTTGCAACATCCTCCAAGGTAACCCTGGGTCAAGAATCAAGACCACGTACTGCTTCAGTTTTTCCACCCGAAAGGCTTGGCAAATAGCGTTGATTCAGTCCTTATACTTGCATCCCCTGCAACATTTTATATGTAATTTGCCTGGAGGAATTAATTATAGTTCAGAAGTAAGACAATGATTCTTCATACATATATTTATTTGTAGTATTACAGTATATTATAATATAGTTGTATGTATGTGTATATATATTATATATATATACAATATCTATCTGTTCACATCTGGATATTCATGCCTCTATGTATTTATAGCTAATGAACCATAGCCAGGCGACTCAAGGGTCTGATGCGCTTGCGGGCGATATCGAAGCGACTCCTCAGTGGAGAACTCGAGAACTCAAAGGTGGTCAAGTGCGACAACCCACACACAATAAGGTGAAATTAAGGTGAATACTTGATTAAAATACGTATAGAAAAAGTGGAAGTTCTGTGCATTTTCATCAATCATGGTGAACAACAGCTTCATAGTTCAGAATTCAACCTTAAAATGGATGGATTTGGGATGATTTGGGCCCGGTATACACCCAATTCTCGCCATTTCATAGGGAAATATGATGACTAATCATCCAATTTTGAGCTATTTTCAGACAAACCCAGAGGTAAAGTGGTAAAAGTATCCACGGTCCTCCCCTTGTGGATATCACATCCCCATATTGTCACCAACCTAAAGTTGGTATTAAAGCAACATTTTCTCTGGTTTTCAATACTATCCAGACTATCCAATCAACTTCTGAAAAATATGTATATATATATATAACAGGTTACCGATATACTGTCATATTTGAATCAACTCAAAATTGGCGCTCTGTTTGTCAAGAAATTTTCTTCTGATAAACGAAAACTCCCCTTGGACATCAGGTGGAGTAAGTTCACCATTCTGAATTCTCTTGGTCTTCAAATCACACACATAAACAGAACATATTAATGTCGTAAACCCAATTGTAAACAACTACCATTTCGGAATGACTTGAATCCCATGCATTTATGGCAAAAAATAGGGGATGGTCTTTGGTGTGAATGGCTTATGGATGTTGGCATCTCAGTGGACATTCCATTCCAATTTTTTCGTTCGCCCATCTCCAAGCAAACTATCCCATACTATCCCTATATTTTGCAAATTCATGGGCTTATGACTATATGTCTCATTAAAACATGGGGCCCATGATCTACCTCAATTTCCCCAATTTCTACCCAATACTCATCTAATCTTATCTAAGCCGTTGACACAATGTTGTCCAAGGCTCTCTTGGTTGGCTTGGTGGCAGACCCGAGACAGCTTGGTGGCTGTGCACAGAGGCTTTCGCCAATCATCTTCATTGCAATGGCCTCAACTCGCTGGGCATCCCAGGGCTGCGGCATGCGTCGAAAAACCGAAGAAAATGATGGTGTCCTGTTCTCGTGGGGGGGATCCCATTTTAACAAATCAAAGGCATAGGTGCTTCAATACTAAGTCATGGTCATCCATGACGACCGGATGAGAAAAAGGGCCTACCTCAAAATGACGAAACGGTTAAAAAATATAGAAACCTCCATTAATTTCGATGCACCATTTGGAAAAATGGTCGCATCCTGTGAATCCAGTCGACTGGATTTCCACATCCCCTGTTTGATCCCATTCGATGCTGGGAGTCCCACTGGAAGATTCAAAGCTCACCTCAGGCGACAAGCTGGTAGTGCAGAGTCTGTTGAAGACCCCAAAGTTGGGTGCTCAACCCAAAAGCTAGCATTTTCATCCGAAACTATGAATTCTAGGATGTTTGAGGTAAACAAAATTGAAGATTTCTCGTCTTTTATTTTTTCCATGCTTTCAGCCAGCCCAAACCATATCTGTGGCATCCATGAGGCCCTCACCTCACCACAGTTCTCAACGAAGAAGTCCAACAGAGAACCTCAAACATCTAAAGCCAATGGAGAGGCTGATATCTAAACCAACTACAATGTGACAATGCAGATATATGTATATATATATACATACACATACATATAATATATATATATAGATATAGATATGTATCTGCGTGTGCTAGCGTCAAAAGAGTGTATATGGTTTATATTGGTTTATGATCATCTTTCCCACAATGGGAATCCTTATAATGGCTAGTCCAACTTTTGACCATGGCACATATCTGCAAAAACATGTCGTGCAGGTGTCTATACGGTATGCATAATATATATATATATGATATTATTATATATATATGATATTATATACACACAGAACACCTAGATTCTTAGATATCATAGATTCGAACGAACCACAATCGCTATAGATAACCAGTAACCAAGCAAAGATAAGAAGCTAGCTAAGAAGCATGGAGAGGTTAGCCTGATTGAGAATTTGGATGATCCATCTCTCTGAGAAACCATCCAAATTAGTTTATGTATGTTTATGTTGTTTCTCATTGGATAATATATACGATTGATATGTATTAACAATATTATAAAAATATTATCCAAATGTAGAATATATATAATATAAGTATACAAATATATTACTGTTTCTGTAGATATCCCATTGTATATACGTATATATATATATACCATTGATATCCGAGTTATATACTAGTCACATCATCGAAGTCCATCCCACCATCCCCATCCCAAAAATAACTGACCAGCTATCCCAGATACATCCTCCCCATCCCCCGCAAAAAAGTGTTGCTTATCCCATGAAATATCAAAAAAAAACACGATCATTCTATACCTTGAAGCATCAAAAATCCCAAAACTTGGAGGGTGAAAACTTCCCAAAGCTTGATCTGAAATTTATCGTTCATACCTCATCACTCCATCCATCCATCCATCCTTGATATGAGAATTTCTGAAGTCATGGGGGTTCCGCAAAACCATGGGCTTCAATACTAAGTTTTGGTCCAATTTTCGATGATTTGGGGATATCCCTATGACAAAACGGAAAGCTTCAAATATGGATTGTCCATTATAATCACCATGAAATCACCATGAAGTACCCCTAGTTTCAGGAAAAACCTCCATATTGGTGGTGATATCAGTGATACCCGCATCTCTCCATCCATATCCGGTTGGTGGTTTCAACCCATCTGAAAAATATGAAAGTCAATGGGAAGGATGACATCCCATATATTTGAACATAATCCAAATGTTTCAAACCACCAACCAGATATCCATCATATCTATATAGTGTACCCCTAAACCCAATGGTTTTGCTGATCATTATCCCTATTAAATGGCTATCCATTGCAATCCCAGCAGCCCAGTCCCACGCCACGCTGCTCCGGCTCTCTAATCCGCCCCGGCGCATCCTCCGCGAACTCCGCCAAGGTGGCGCCGATCTCGGCCCGGCGCTGCGTGGTGCTCTGCACCTACCGCGACCCGCGTCCGGCGTCCGGGGGGATGGAACACGGCGACTTCAAGGGAAAAATGGTGGATTTTGGGCATCCAAAATCCAGATGGATAGTGGAAAATGGTGATCTTTAAAAGGGACAAATGAATGAACATGATTTTAAAAAAATGTGGGAAAATGTTTTTTTGAAAATGATTTTTTGTTGTTTTTGTTGGACCATGCTTTAGGCTCCCGAAATTCAGATGCGATTCTTCCTAGTGAACACATGCCGTTCAAACAAAGCAATGTGAAACAGAGCAGGAGCCGTTGATATCCTTTAATTTAATCAATAAAATGTCATACTTTGCCACAAATTACCTTGCCTCTTCATACAGTTCTCGCTCACGTGTTTCCACTTCAGCAATCTTCTCTCGGAGACTTTGAATCTTTGGGCCTTTCTCGTCCTGGCAACATGGCAACTTCTCAAGGTGACACTCCTCATAATGTTGGATCAACATGGCAGAATTGTTGCTTAAAATATCACCATCTGGGAATTTCTTCAAATGCAAAATAACATGGATGGTCTAGAGCCCCC